TGTAGGAACCAGTTTCAAATCATATCCCATAGGGCCTGTAATCGTGAGTTGGGACCAATGTTTTCAACTCACTTTTGACTCGAACGATCAAACCATTCGAACCATCACTAAATCCACCTTTAAACCAAAAACATTGACGTAGTAAAAAATGTCAAATCTGTGCATTTGAATCGTTGAGCCATTCAACCTGGTCATTGTGTCATGGGTTATACATTTAATGTATGTACAAACTTTGAGAGACATCTATTAGCTACTTTCAATGATTTTATTGTACAAATTAATTGGGATCTTCTATCTTAAAGAAGTAATAGAACGAACATATCTGCTCTCTTATTATCTTTTCTTACTAGGCTGCATTTCGCATTCCTTATTTTAAGGATTTATCTCCTTTTTACAGTTAAAAATGTCCCTATAAACATTGAATTTTTAACAATAAAAATAAATAAATCTTTAAAATAAAGAATGCCAAATGCAGCTTTAGACCCCTTCATTTGATCTTCTCATTCTTTAATTCTGTTTTCAAAAGCAATATAAAGCAATATGGGCTTCCACATGGGGGACTATTGTAAGGGAGTTCTAACACATTGTGTCTCACTCTCTAAGGATTAAGGGGAAGGGCGGGGACAGAACAGGATGCACGTGAGGTTGACTGACCTTACAGAGCATGCATTTATGCGGATTTGACCCAGCACCCATGCCAAGGGGTTTTTGGCCATTCTTCTGTATGTCAGAGAAAATGCATTTGAAGAGGGTATGCTCGTCAAACATGTTTTTCCGGTGTACTTCTATAGTTCTAATGATTCATCAAAAGTGATTTTTTAAAATGACAAAATTAACCCTTTTTTTAGGCTTTTGGTTAGTTTTGGAGTAGGTTTTTAACCACTGATGGTGTTGGAAGAGGATTTTGGAAAACCCCAAACTATATATACATCACTTTTAATGTATATTATATTATATAACTTTACGTAAATTTTAAAAAAGTAAATAAATAAATTTGCAAGTAGGAATAAGTAGGATGCGGTGGGGCAAATTATCCATGGGACGGGATGGGGTTGAGAATTCTAACCCCATTAAGGTATAGGCAGGAATGACAACAGGACAGGGATCATAATTTTAGTATTCATTCCCAATTCTGAAGTTAACCTCCTATGCCCATACTTGGTTCTCGTTGGGGATAAATAAAAATTTTAAATTATAAATAATATTTTAAATATTTTTTGATATATATATATATAAATAATATATGTTTAATATAAATAATATATACAATCGGGGTCGAGGCGGGGCGGGGACCTCAATCCCCTTCCCCGACCCCAACTCCGATTAGGAATTCCTATTAATCTCTATCCCCATCCCTATCCCGCCAAAACAATCCCCATCTCCGACCCGATGAGATTGGGAAAGTCAAGTCCCTATCAGGAATGGTGAAATTTGCCATCCCTAGGTATAGGGTGGGGTATTTGAGCTCAAGGCTTTGTTTAGAAGGAATACAAATATAAATATATACAAAATAATGCAAAATACAAAGTTTTGCATCTTCCAAACTGAGCCCAAGGTCAGAGATGGGGGTGCAAAACCTGAGCCACCCTGCCCCCTTTTGGTCTCTTTATCTACTTATTTACTAGGGATGTGCCGATTTTATCAAAAACTAATTGCACCTAAATCACCATGCTTAACTTAATACAGAATACACACTTCTTTTCCACATCTTAAAGAAAAGGTTTTACCTAAATTTGTTAATCAGCCAACTAAAAAACCACCCCATACCTTCATTGCGATGTGCCTTGTGATGTTGTAGCTAAAACCATAGGCATGCTTGTAAATCTCATATAATAAACTAAGGCTCTGTTTGGATAAAATTTTGCCTTTGAGAGTTGAGCTGTGGGAAGCGAAAATGAACTAAAACGGGTAGAAGTGTTTTGATCATTTAGTAAGAACTGATTTGGAAAACATAGAAAATCTAAAGCCAAAAATACTTTTAAGCCACTGTGGCTTTGTTGTAGGGTTTCATTTGTTAGCTGCCAAACATAACTTCCATTAAATAATGATAAGATGACCTCCATGGAAGCCCTCATTGTGCATGACACTTTTTGAAATAATTGAACTTTCACTATCAGATCATGGATGTACGCGTTACATCTTAGTCCCCCTGCAAATGCATGCCATGTGCATGCATGTTATGAAGGTCGACTTCATATCTACCTTTCTAACATATGAATCCTCCTTTATTTGCTTGAGCGGAAACCCATTGTGCTGATTGGGGGGTGGTCCTGATTCAGTCCTGACGACCAATGCCTTTGTTAATAGGCTTCATCCTTGTTTCTTACACAATAACAGTTTACAGAGCTTAGATATTAAAACTTGTGCCCATTTAAAATGCAAAATGGGCAACACACCCTGACCATGGTCCCCCAAACCAATGGGCCTAGCTACCTATCTCTGCCCTTTCTAATTCAATTAACATGGTGCATGGGTCTGAAGCTACAGTAACTGCAACCCATCAACCCATCCATGAAGGACTGTCGGCTCCTTTCTGTGGACCAACCATGTACATGGTGAATACATGGGTGGGGGGGTTGGTATGATTTGATTGAACAAGGATGGATCTGATTTTCAAGTTCGGCTTCGGCCAGTGCAAATCTATGTTCACACCGTTTGAACAACTTCTTGCAATTTTATATTGGGAATATCTCTCTATGAAATTAAGCACATAAATATGAAGATATTCCCTACGGGGCATTACACAGACTGAAGCTGAAGTCCTATTTGTCTTGAGCTTAGATACTTGATAGTGCAATTCTTCCTCTCTTTTTGTTAGGCGAGTCTTACAGAAATTGATCTGCCTTGAGTCTTTATTAGGTTTGATGGGGTTGAGCTCATTTTGATTTTAGCAGCTAATCCAGTAGCTCCATAAAGAGATTCCATCTACGACATTGCTTGAATGGGTGATGACAGGGTTCTATCACTAAAGGAGAGGCAGAATAAAATAATAAACAAGATTTGTGTTAAAGAAAGATGGTTAGATTTAACATTTTATAAGTTATAGCTAGCTTTACCAAAAAGAAGGGGGCATTGTATGAGATGAGAGAATGTTTAACTACTTTCGAATTTAGATATGGTTCTATGAGCTTAAGTGAACAAAAGTAGGAGGACAAGCCATGATGGGATTCTCTCTCGAGTCAAATTTAAAAATGAAAACTTATTAATCTATTTTAATAATGTTTGTTTATTTTTGTTTCATGGGTTGTCCAGTTGGTAGAGGGCTGATTGTCCTTTATGGGGACCATGTGGTTTGTAGATGTGATGCTATTGCTTGTTAATTTTCTACCACATCTCTCTCATATGGATGAGTTCCCCATGGTGAAGCTTTAACTAAGGAGAGAGAGAGATTGTCAAGTGAAGTGATGCAATGCCCATTAGTGTGATTCAAGAAAATTTGTACTTCCTACTAATTCTCTAAAGCTTCAAGTCTTCAACTAATGACTCTTTTAAGGACAAAAACATCCTTAATTTATTCTAGAACAAAGGAAAATTAAATTAGATGAAGACAGCTGAAGCCCAATGTGTGTGAATTTTATAGTAGGTACCATGCATGATGATAGAGAAATTTATTATAAAATTGTCTTACTATGTTTGGATTCAGAAACCCATATGAATGAATTAAATCATGTCGCTTTATTTGGAATGATGTATTTCAACACATTACTCCATCATCTCCCATTCGATTTATTTGCAACATATTAGTTATAACTACAAATTACTTCATTGCTTAAGATATCTTCACCCTAAAAGGATTTTAGAATCCCTCCATTGGAAATATGTGGAATTGCATTTCCCTTTATGAAGCCTTTTGATGGTGCGCAATCCGGCCGGTCCTAGCTGTCAACGATCTTGCCTCTGACTGGAGCAACAAGGAGTCTGAAACGGAGAAGATGAGGAATCTCCGGGGAGGAACCCGGTGAGATTGCTCCGAAGCTCAAGTTAGTATTCTCTCAAAGGCAAGATAAAACCAGATGGCGCAAAGTTCACATACCTTGTTCTTGGGGGGTAGGGAGCCTTTTATAACCATTTCGCACACTCACTCCTAAGCTTCTGTCAAGTCGGGTATGATTATCCCTGCGCTCCTGCCAGTTCGAGTGTCATCACCTCTGCTGGGGGCATAACCGCCACTGCTCTCTTTGTCGGAGCCGTCTCTGCAATTGGAGATGGCGGTGGCAGGTGGCGGTGGTAGATGGCCGTTGAAGTGCGGCTGTCAAGCGTCAGATCCCAAGTCAGTCAGGTGCGCCGCCCTTGGGTACGGATTTCCTCGGTGTCAGGCGTGATACGGCTGTTCAGTTTGGCGTCCTGGAGGCGAAGTGCTGGAGTGGTGAGCGAGGTAAAGTCTTGAGTTCGGATAGAGGAGTGTCCCGAGCTGCCATGGGACAGGCCAGTTCGGGTTATTACCCTTTGTGTTCGTAAGGCTCGGGGCCTAAGGGGGAGCTCGGGCTCCTTGCAGGGAGTTCGGGCTCCTTGTAGGGAGATCGGGCTCCTTGTAGGGAGTTCAAACCGCTGGTTCCTCCTTTTGAAACTCACGCCTTAGGCGTACTGTTGCCTTTGCCACGTGTTGAGTGATTACGAAGTCGGGCCAAATGTTCCTTCATCACCTTTACCCGAATAAATACTTGGGATTTTAAACACAACGGTTCAACTCAAAACTCAGCTAGTACTCGACTCGGTTATTTGGACCGAGTCTAGGAATAGGAGAATTTATTGCTATTACGGAAAAAAAAAAAGAAGGGTCAGGATTGCAAGCATCTAGCCATCAAATTGGTCAAACCTCTGTCTTCTTAGGCGGGACCCAGTGGGCAGTGGGACCAGAAAACCTGGACCGTCCATAAGGCATGAAGTACCCCACATTGTACCATTTTCTCGTCTGATACCAACGAGAAGTACTTGGTTACACCAACTCCTCCATTCCATTTTCCTTTTCTTTCCTTTCCTTTTCCTCCTCTTTCTCTTTACTGGGAAAACTCAAAAAAGGAATCAAAACCGAAAACATTTAATTTTCCCTTATCCTTATTATCAACATTTGGGTAGGAAGAGGAGATACTGAGATATCGGAAATGGAAAAAAACAGAAAAAATATATCTGACATTTATTTCCTTCCCATGCGTTATCGTCTTCTTTAGAATTCCTGCAGATTTGCAGACACCCCCCGTGCGCGCTTTCAAATCTCCACCCCTGCAACTTCTGAACCCTGAACCCTGAATCCACAACCCCCTCTCTCTCTCTCTCCATCTCCATGGAGGTTCTTCTCTCTGTTCTCCTCTGTTCTTCCTCTCTGTATCTCCTCTTCTTCCTCCTCCGCTACTCCCGCTTCAGCCTTCGGAAACTCGGGCTACCGCCAGGTAGCCTCGGCCTCCCTTTCATCGGCGAGACTCTGCAACTCATCGCAGCCTACAAGACCGAGAACCCCGAACCTTTCATCGACGCGCGGGTGGCTCGGTACGGGAGCCTGTTCACGACTCATGTGTTCGGCGAGCCAACCGTATTCTCAGCCGACCCGGAAGCCAATCGGCTCATTCTGCAGAATGAAGGAAAGCTGTTCGAATGCAGCTACCCGTCCTCGATCTCCAACCTCCTCGGCAAGCATTCCTTGCTGCTGATGAAAGGGAGCCTTCATAAGAGGATGCATTCGCTCACCATGAGCTTCGCCAATTCCTCCATCATCAGAGACAATCTCCTCGTGGACATCGACCGGCTGGTTCGGCTCAACTTGGATTCCTGGACCGGCCTGGTTTTCCTCCAGGAAGAAGCCAAGAAGGTGCGTTTTGTACTTCCCAGCCTATTTCAGCGCAACTCCTTCCGAAATGGCGAAATCTCTCTCTCTCTCTCTCTCTCCTCTCTGAGTTTAGTGTTTACATACTCGAGTCGAGAAGAATTGCCCAAGTTCTTACTTCTTAGCAGACTCCTTTTCAATGCGTTCAGTGTTCATCCAAGTTCACGTTAGCAAAACCCCGAATAGGTCCTCGTTGTCTCTCCCTGTATCTAAAGCCGACCGGTTACATCCAGGCGCAAGTTAGCAGGAGGGAGGAGGGAGAAAAGTGTGGGCTTTTCAGTTCAGAAAACTTTTTCCTCCTCCTGAAATGTCTTCCGAAAAGTAAAGAAGAAAAAGAAATACAAAATGAGTCTGTCTGTATTTTACTTTCCGCACTTCTTTTCCATTTTCCACTAAACTAAATTTCTTGCCTTTTTTCCTCCTTTTTCTTATAACGAAAAGTTGAATTCTTTTGATATTAATTAAAATAATCTGCGTTGCGCAGATAACATTCGAATTGACGGTGAAGCAGTTGATGAGCTTCGATCCTGGGGAATGGACTGAGAGCTTGAGGAAGGAATACCTTCTCCTTATTGAGGGCTTTTTCTCGGTTCCTCTCCCTTTTTTCTTCACTACTTACGGCCGAGCGACCAAAGTAACAGACTTGTTATATCTTATTTTCATTGATTTGACACTAGTTATTTGGATCCATCCTTCTGAAATTCTGCTGGGTTTGTTGAATGAATATAAATATGCAGGCTCGAACGAAGGTAGCAGAGGCGCTTCGGTTGATCGTGAGGAAGAGGAGAGAGGAGAGTAGAGGAGGAAAGAGTAAGAAGAAAGACATGCTGGCAGCATTGTTGGAGGGGGGAGAGGGCGGGTTCTCAGACGAGGAAATCGTGGATTTCTTGCTGGCCCTACTGGTCGCCGGTTACGAGACCACCTCCACCATCATGACTCTTGCTGTCAAATTCCTCACCGAGACACCGCTCGCTTTGGCTCAGCTAAAGGTGGGTTTCAGTTTTCTCATTCATCTCTGTTGCCTTCTTCTTCCGTTCTTCTTTTTCAAATGCGGTTGTGGTCCAGCCCATCCGGACCGAGATTTTTTTGTACACGGTTGAAGTTAGAATTTGGGGGAGCGCCACCTGTGAAAGCCTGGAAGGGCGTGGTGGTGATTGGTGGTCGTACATGCAGGGAAGCTGCATGAAAGACGAGCTGGCAGCCGGTCCGTGTCTGCTGGACCACAGGTTTTTCCTTGGTTTAATCAATTAAACCGGTTTATTAAACTGTATTATTTTGTTTGTTACTTTCCAGTTGTAGCCGCTGCTGCAACCTTCCCCCATCACGCCCACAATAATAAGCACCGATCTTTTCTTTTCTTTCATTCTTTTTAATTAAAAATAAACCATGCTGATTGCTGCCTCCACAAGGAATCTCTCTCTCACTCTCTCTCTATAGGAAATGAAATGATTTGTGTGGTGGGAGAAATTGCAGGAGGAGCACGACGGGATCAGGGCAGCGAAGGAGCAATCAGAAGAAGGGCTACAGTGGAGCGATTATAAATCCATGCCTTTCACTCAATGCGTACGCTCCTTCACCTTCACTGGATATTTCATATTCATATATTGTTTTGTATTTAATTAATTTTGTACAGGTGGCTAATAAATTTAGGTTTTACTGAGATGATGATCAGGTGATTAACGAGACATTGAGGGTAGCCAACATCATTAGTGGAATATTTAGGCGGGCAATGGCGGACGTCAATATCAAGGGTCAGTAGAGTTTGGTATTTGGTAGCCCCCACCCTTTTTTTTTATGGGATGGATGGATGGATATGGATTGATTTATTAACTTTGTATAGGCTACACCATACCCAAAGGGTGGAAGGTCTTTGCATCATTTCGGGCAGTCCACCTGGATCACGACCACTATAAAGAAGCTCGAACCTTTAATCCCTGGAGATGGCAGCAGGTCTCCTCCCCAATCTCTCTCTCTGCTGCTGCTGCTGCTGTTAATGCTGAATTTATTTCTCTCTTTTTCTGTTTCAATATATAAATAAACAAGTTTAATTAGGGGCTAAAATGATAACCTCAATGTGTTGAAACTTGAACAATGGAACAGAGCAATACAGGGGGAGCGACATCAGGAACAGTGAATCTGTTCACGCCGTTCGGCGGGGGCCCACGCCTCTGTCCTGGATATGAATTGGCTCGAGTCGAGATCTCAGTCTTCCTTCACCACCTGGTCACCCGTTTCAGGTATAACAAAGACGAAACGCACTACACTCGATAAAAACAAATCTGCCTTCGATGCCCGCTAACTGTTTGAGTAATTGCATTTACAGCTGGGTTCCGGCCGAAGAAGATAAGCTGGTTTTCTTCCCAACCACCAGGACCCTCAAGCGGTATCCAATCAATGTCCAGCGCCGAATCAAAATTCCAGCAAAAACAGGGGAAGGAGAATGAGCAGCAGGAAGAGAAGAAGGAAACACAACAACAAACAGAGAAAATAGAGTAGAGTAGGCAGGAGAAGAAGATGGGAATAATGCTGTTGTAATTTTTGATTCCCCTCTAATTTAATAAATTGAAGGAAATCCCATTGTAGGAAAAAAGAAAATAAATTATTGCTAGAGCTCTGTTTATCATCTTTCTTCGTGGATTCGTGGGTGGGGTCCGTCGATTTACATTCTATGCCCTGTCCAATATTTCTCTCTCTCTCGCTGCCCCACCTGTGACCTGTCATTCCTCGAGCCCCCAAACCAACCACTAGGACTGGACTAGTTGAGTTCTTTCTTGTCTCTACTTTTTGGGATGTCGGATTCGAGAAATCCTACTTGTAAGTTTTAATTCCCTTACTACCCCTCTTTATTCTACCTAATAACCCAATGCGCTTTTAGCACTGTTCTTTAATCTGTATTAGATCAGAATCTACTTCCACACAAAGTACTTTTCAGATTGTTACCAAAAAAAAAAATACTTTGCAGATGGGGGGAATCTACACCCAGACCATGTGAAATACTATTGCCCACCACCCACCCTGGAAGTGGATCTGGACCCAACATTGGATAGTGAATATCGATCTGGGCCAAGCCCAGATAACCCCACCCCACCCCACAAGGCCCCAACCAAGCGGCCCAATGGCAACTCCCAACGCGGTCATACCAATTGAACCAGCTGACATGTGCAATTATTGATTAGGCAAGGCAGGTCAATGTTGGCCTAATTGTCCTGACTGAAAAGGACCAATGCAATGCTGGGTCCCACTCCCACATTCTCTGAATGATAACACGTGGGCAGTCAGAGACGAGGTATCGTTGCGTTTTCCCATAACTCTCTGATCCATCTTAGTAATCCTTGTTTTTGGGTCTTGTCAAGTTACTATTGAGGATCCTTTGTAGTCGGAATCGAAAGAAATTGTCCGTTTGGTTGCTGAGAAAGGATGAGATGAAAAAGAAAATTTATATAAAATTTCAATGGTCAGACTTGGGACGTTCGCAGAAAATGAAAAGACAATAACATGTCTCCTTGCCACTTGGGGATCTAAATTCGACTTGAGGGAGGAAGGATATAAGATTCAGTCGAATAAAATACTAAAGGACACTTAAACGGCATGAGAGGGGATGAAAGTGCTTATTGGAGGTCATAAACTTTGCTGGAAATGAAGGTTTTAGACAATTGGAGTCCGGACCATTGCAAGGGTGTAAATGAAAACAGTGCACCTTCGTTAACTTTTTTTCACTATCTTGCACCTCTTATGTTTTTCAATGGAGTGCACCTATTTAGTGAGATCCCCGTGTTTCATGTTTTGAGAAGAAAATAATCAAACATGAGAAAATAGGAATATACGCCCATCTCAATCCAACCGTTAAATGGGCACTAAGAATGGGAATGAGATTGGAATTTCATATCTCTATTGCCGCAAGCCAAACGGGCCTTTAAAAGGAAAATGGGCCGTTGATTGCTCCCGATGTGCTGCTTCGTATTAAACATCCAACGGCTGGAATTCAATCTCGAAGAAATTAGAATGGTCTAAACCTTGAGATTTAATCCTTCATTTATTATCGGAGGGTTGCGTCGACAGACTGAAAGTGACCAGCTTGGTGTGGTGTCGACCCCGAGACACGATGTCTGAAGCACACGTGTGCGACCGTAGGGTATGTCGCAGACGTACGATTTGACTTGGTCCACGTCTCCCTGTCTGCTGCGCACATACACGTGTGCCCATTTTCTGGTTTTCTTCTCTCAGAATTCAGATCTCTCTGTGTGGAGTCTGGTGAACTACGGACAAACACAAGGACGTTCACATGCGTTGCTTTCGCTAGCTTGCAAGCAGCGACGCTGGTTTTGGATGTATCCGCTGACATCAATCTCTTCTATTTGGATTTTGGCGTGGATGAACTCCAAGCTCCATACGAGAGAGATAGAGAGATAGAGAGAGAATCTTCTCTGAAGTCTGAGGGCGCACGAGGGGGAGCGTACGTACAATCTTGACTAGAGTGGTGAGTACACGTAGAGCTGTTCTCCTTTTGTTAAAACCGTTGGATGAGCAGCGGAGACACTGTTTAAGCCAAAAAGGAGTCATGATAGTGTCCTCAGAATGGAGAAGGAGAAGCAGAGCAGAGCTGTGGGATTGATAGGATGTACCCAGGACCAGGAATTTTTATGGCTAGAGATTTTAGGGGGCTACGAGGCTATACGAAGTGATGAGAATTGAGAAGATGTTTTAATGCGACGCTTTCCATTTGTATACATAGTCCTATTATGGAGTGTAGTGTGTTTCTATCAACTGCTCAACTGAGACAGAGAGAGCTCTAAGGCTAGCCTCAGTTGTCCTTGTGCGTAGGGATGGGATTAGGATCGCGTTCATAGATTTGTGTTATGGGTAGTGACAAATTATGGAAAAGGTTCTGATTTGTCCTTTGTTTTCTTTCTTAGCTTTAAAAGGAAGGCTCTTATTTCCATTGTCAAATATGATCACAATCAGATTAATAATACTAAACAATTTTGGCTGTCTAGAGTTCCACACTCCGCTCCTTGGTCTATTATCAACAGGGTTCAACGGCTCTCCCTGTTTGTTAACAACCCAGGCTGTCCAAGGTGGACAGACAAAAGTATTGTTTCGCAAGTTTATTTTAAAAGATCTGGTAATTAGAATACATAGTGGGCTTTTACATAAACATCTTGACAATTCACATACCATTTGATAAGACGTGCGTCTTTTCGCATAAAAATGAGATGAAAAAAGTGAAGAAGTTTCATTTGGATTGAAAATAACCCAAAACGAGTTTCTTGCATTTTTTCGGGGCCGAGTCTTTCGGTGAGAAGCTAGATATTCTCCCACCTGAATGGGATCCATGTTTATGGGCTATTCTGTTGTCTTCCTGGCTGGATAATAGACCTACCACATTAGAAGACATGCGTCCTATCACCTACCAATTTTTAGATCTAAGCCCTAAATTCTAATTTCTTAAACCCTAAATCTTACACCTAAAACCCAAAAATTTATACTCTAAACCCTTAATTCCTAAACATTTACCCTAAATCCTAAAATCTAAACCTAAACTCTAAACATTAAATCCTTAAATCTTAAAATTAATGCATAAAGATGCATGCCCTGCAATGTAATAAGAATCAAGTGTTTTTCCGATAAAAAAATTACAGCTTCAAACTTAGAAGTATAATTGTCAATTATAATAGGGTTCTACTAGATTACGGACATTCAAGAAGAATGCTACCTGAATGATGTGCAAGAATTTCTATGACAAAATTTCAGAAAAAAAATTACTAAAAGGAGAAAATTAGGAAAGGATTTAGAGCAAGAAGAGACCATATGTGATGTGGCACCATCTATTTTAGTATATAGTATAGATTGGATTAGACCTGAAAGAGTGACTGTCCCAATTTTACAAGGTGAAGTCCAAAACTGGTCTACACGTTTACTTACATTTGGCTAGGATCTACCTTACCCGGATCAGACCAGACCGATTGACAGCATTACTAATCAAATTATAATTAGGGGTGTCAACGGTATTTGAAAATCTGATTTCAAATTAGAAATTTGACATAATCGAATCAAATTCGAATAATTCGAATATCTAATCAGTCGAATTCAGATATCCTATTTTATATCGAATAATTAATCATATTCGAATTTGAATATGACCTTATTTGATTCAATAAACATCCGAATTTGACCAATTATTTAATTCTTATATATATAATATTTAAATGTCTTATATAATTTAAATACTTTATATAAATAAAATATTTATTTTATATATTTATTAATTACCTAAAACAATTAATTGATCAAATTCGAATGGAATCAAATATTCGAATATTTAATTGAATTTGAATTTGAATATTAATTTTCAATATCCGTCAGATATCGAATCCAACTTAGATACCAGATTTCCTAATCGAATTTAAATTTCCCATTCAATTCGACTAAACACACCCCTAATTATAACCATAGCAACTTCAACACAATTAAACTTCTCTCTTATTTTAACAATCTGAAATGCAGTAAAACTCATGGGTCCATCCTACCATTACTGATCATTTAGGCCGGACCCATTTCATGGCGAATCCCGCAACATAGTACGCGTGACAAGCAATGGGCCCTAACCATGGTTTTTAAAAACAAACCAGTCAGGGGTCTGGTTATCGGTTCGAACGGTCTGACCCTTCGGCCCGAATGATCGGTTTGTTTTGACAAAAAATAAAAAAAAATTATAAAATTGGAAAACGGTCAAAACCGTTCGAATGGTTTGAACAGTTAATCAACCGATTCAGCGGTTTGTTGACCAAAATCAACGGTTTTAGGGGAAAATTTAGAGGAAAACGAAACCGTTCATGTGACCGGTTCCCGATTTTTCCGGTCTGATTCGGTTTTGAAAACAGTGGCCCTAACTATAGGCGTGTCATGTCTCCTGTCTTGCCAATCTCACAGTTCACACCTTAGGATGTGTTTGGTTTAAATAAAAAATAGGAAAAAGAATGGACAGGCTGAAAAGCTTATACAAGATTTATATGGGTTTCTCTACTTTTTCCTATTTCCTTTGAAACCAAACACAATCTTTAACATATAGTTTTTGTTGAATTGAATTTTTAATGAAGCCAACTCTTTCATGCTTGAAATTGAACCGTTCTCGCAAACCCTTGCAACCGTGCATTAAAAATATCTCCCCGTGAAAAAAAATATATATACATACAAATATGGAATGTTCTCCATGCATGGCTAAAAATGGCTGACGACCAAATCCGATCTCTTCATGGTTTTATTATTCAGTAACAAGCCTTTGTGCTGGTAGGTCATGCCATTTGTCGCTACACAGCAGGTGGCTATGAATGTTGTCACCGTGGAAGGCGCACCTCCAGGTTCCATTCTGAGCTGAATTCTCCTTGTCATACTTAAAACAGGAGTTTGGATCTCTTCAATACAGCATGTTCCAGTGGTACATCGGGAACGTTTCTTGTATTCAAGGTTTTTAAAATCGAATTGGATAAAAACCATTTTGGATTTGATTTTTGGGTTAAATGGTTTGACCGTTTAGATTGAACGAACAGTCCGTTTTAACAAAAATTAAAAAAATTTAAAAAATCAAAAATCATTGTGCAGATCAACGGTTCTATGGTCAACCGC